GCTATTTTCAAAAACAAAAAAATCCAATTCTCATTTCTCAAAAACGTTGGAAGTAGATTGAGAGATAATTGAAAATATAAAATTCTTTTTTCAAAGACAAACCGGAGAATTTTATCAAAGTTTTCACAAAACTGGATAGTTTTCTCCAATTTTTTATAAAAACACCGAATTTTCGCAAATTCTTTAATAAACTGGAGAATTTTCTCGAAAAACGGAGAAGTTTGTCGAATTCTCTAGAAAACCGGAGGACTCCCCCGAATTTATTAGAAAATCGATGAATTTCATCGAATTTCCTAGACAACCGTAAAATTCTTCCGAACTTATGAGAAAATCGGCGAACCTCATGCAATTTAGTAGAAAATCGGAGAATTACCTTGAATTTTCTTGAATTTTTTAGAAAATCGTAGAATTTCCTAGTTTTGTTTACAAAACTGGAACATTAATTCAAAGTTTTTAGAAAATTGGAGAATTTTTTCGATTTTTTTTTTGAAAATCGACGGATTTTCTCGAAAACCTCAGAATTTTCTGGAACGCTCTCAGAAACTTGGCTCTTCCGGATCAAGTTGAGAGTTGGACTCTAGATAATTTCTGGTTTTTGAGAGAAAATTCAGGGTTATTTGAAAGTTGGAGTGACGAGGCGTAAAATGCATTCTATGCCAGTCGCCCTCTTTACTATCAACTTTACTATCGGGATTGAAAATTTGATTTTTGAATTTTGATTCTCAAGTATCTCTGAATGTACCCTCAACTTTTTTGAGAGTTGAGAGTTGGATTTTTGATTCTCAATTGTCTTTCAATCTACTCTCAGTGAATTGAGAGTTAATTGAAAATCAAGAATCAAACTCTCAATTTTTTTGAAACTATTGAGAACTCATTGAGAATCAAAAATCCTATTTTCAGTAGTAATACCACTAGTGCTTCAAAATATCCGATTAATTTTGGAGCACGAGTGGTATTTGACGGATTATTTTTCCACTCGGATTTCGGCCAAGCAGAGGGCAGTGAACAGCACCCGGATACATTTAAACAGTCATACATTTATAACCCACTTTTTTGTTTATCTGTCAGACAGAATATTGAACGTGAAATGCGTTGAAAGATGAGAAACATTTGAAAAGCTACTAGTGAATTTCCGTCGGGATTTTTTTTAGAAATTTCCGAAATAAAACTGTTTGACAGCCTCAAATACTGCGCTCTGATTGGCTGAAATCGGAGTGAGAAAAAAATCAGTAGTAATACCCCGAGACCTCCAAAATTATCGGATATTCCCCGATTGTTTTGTTGCGTAGCAACGGGAGGGAGAAGTTTTGCAGATTAAAATCCCGAGCGCGCAGCGCCAGGGATTTTTATGCAAAATTTATCCCGATCGTTGATACGCAGGAAAACATGAGGGAAATGTCCGATTAATTTTGGAGGTCGGGTGGTATTCGACGGATTTTTTTTGGTAATCGGATCCTTCCCAAACCGACTCATTTTGACTTTTTTCATGACTTTCTTTCACTCCACAGGATAATATTTGACAGTTATTTGGTTGGAGAAACAATTGCAGAGCTAGAGGGAAATTATCAAAAACTACAGGGAAATTATCAAAAGCTAGGGGGAAATAATCGCTTTAATTTTAATTGGGAAGTACTTCATGTTATTGAATACTGAACTCGGATTGGCCCAGGGAAAGCCAGATCCGATTATTAAAAATAATCAACAAAANCCATTTTATGGCAGTCGCCCTCTTTACTATCAACTTTACTATCGAGATTGAAAATTTGATTTTTGAATTTTGATTCTCAAGTATCTCTGAATGTACCCTCAACTTTTTTGAGAGTTGAGAGTTGGATTTTTGATTCTCAATTGTCTTTCAATTTACTCTCAGTGAATTGAGAGTTAATTGAAAATCAAGAATCCAACTCTCAATTTTTTTGAAACTATTGAGAACTAATTGAGAATGAAAAATCCTATTTTCAGTAGTAATACCACTAGTGCTTCAAAATATCCGATTAATTTTGGAGCACGAGTGGTATTTGACGGATTATTTTTCCACTCGGATTTCGGCCAAGCAGAGGGCAGTGAACAGCACCCGGATACATTTAAACAGTCATACATTTATAACCCACTTTTTTGTTTATCTGTCAGACAGAATATTGAACGTGAAATGCGTTGAAAGATGAGAAACATTTGAAAAGCTACTAGTGAATTTCCGTCGGGATTTTTTTTAGAAATTTCCGAAATAAAACTGTTTGACAGCCTCAAATACTGCGCTCTGATTGGCTGAAATCGGAGTGAGAAAAAAATCAGTAGTAATACCCCGAGACCTCCAAAATTATCGGATATTCCCCGATTGTTTTGTTGCGTAGCAACGGGAGGGAGAAGTTTTGCAGATTAAAATCCCGAGCGCGCAGCGCCAGGGATTTTTATGCAAAATTTATCCCGATCGTTGATACGCAGGAAAACATGAGGGAAATGTCCGATTAATTTTGGAGGTCGGGTGGTATTCGACGGATTTTTTTTGGTAATCGGATCCTTCCCAAACCGACTCATTTTGACTTTTTTCATGACTTTCTTTCACTCCACAGGATAATATTTGACAGTTATTTGGTTGGAGAAACAATTGCAGAGCTAGAGGGAAATTATCAAAAACTACAGGGAAATTATCAAAAGCTAGGGGGAAATAATCGCTTTAATTTTAATTGGGAAGTACTTCATGTTATTGAATACTGAACTCGGATTGGCCCAGGGAAAGCCAGATCCGATTATTAAAAATAATCAACAAAAAAAAACGACATTCAATTCTCAAAAAGTTTTCGAGAGAATTGTCCAATTCTTTGACTAATTGGAAGAAATTCTCCAGTTTTATAGAAAATTCTAGAAAATGCTTGGGTTTTTTATAAATTCATGGATGAAAAAATTTAACCCACGATTACTTGTTGAATGAGCGCGGCGCCGCCCGTTTTTGTCTATTTATATTTTTGTGTTTCTGGACGCTTAAAAATTCTTAAAAATTACTGTTCCTAGTTCAATCTTTTTATTGAGCGTTGGCATTGTCTGTTTTTTTCGCGAAACATTTGTTTAGCTACAAAAAAAGACAAGTCGAGCGGACAGAAAAACGCGCCGCGCCGCTCCGCCCGGTGCGAGTGAATCTCTGTCAACCACTCGAGCGAGCTACATTTACTGCTTCATTCACTGCCACATTTGAAAGGCGCACGTAGCGGTAGGCGCCAAAATGGCAACAACGCGCTCGGTTTACTCCAGCGGCGCTGCGCTAACCGTGCGATAAGCGAAGGCTGGCGGCCGAGCGCGAGTGATCGAGGGTTAATAGAAATATTTACCTAGCGAATTGGTTAGAAACTTCTATTGGATATCTATTGAACTCTCAATTAGTTTTTAGCCGATTCTATTGAGATGTTTAACAAAAAATATTCAACAGAAAAAGTCAATAGAATTCGATTTGTTTTCTATATAACTTATTCTATTGAGATATTTTTTATAGAATTTCCTCTTCTCAAATTTTCAAACTTTTTTTGTTTGATTTTCTGGATGACATTTTCTTGACATTTTACTAGTATCGGCCAAAAAATAGTAGACAATTCAAAACAAACTGCAATAGAAATTCCTAACGAATTCGCAAGATTTTTCTATTAAATGTTTTTTAAAGGCGGTTCTTGAAAATTCTTAGGTTTTCGAGAAAATTCAAAGAAAATCTTCCGGATTTCGAGAAAATTATAGGAATGACTCTGGCGAACCAAGTTGATAGTTGGGCTTTTAATAATTTCCAGCGTTTGAGAGAAAATTGAGAGTTAGTTGAGAATTGGAGCAACAAGGACTACAATACATTCTATTTCGCGCCTCTTCCTCCGATCACTAGTAGTACCCTTATTTCTACAGATAGTGCCACAAGTTAAAAGTCCCCAAAAAATTTTTTCCCCACGTCACTCCACACTGGCTGTGCGGCACCACGTCATTCCTTCTTTTTGTGCAGAAGTGTCAACAGGTTAAAATTAATTGTCCGCTAAAATAATGAGAAAAAGACGTTACAGTCCAGATTCTGATAACGAAAGTCGTTGGAAGAAACGTTTTCGTCGCCTCGAGAGAAAATTAGAAAAGAAACGTTCTCGTAAACATCGCAGACACCGTAAGTAATTGCGTAGAATTTTCCCTTTTGTTTTAGGTTAGAGGTGGCATCGTGAATAGAATACGTGGCAACTAGAGAAGCCTCTAGTCCCCACGATACACCTGGATCCTGTTTTCCGTGTTTGACATGAGTTAAAAACGGATAAAATAAACAAACAGAGGGACAAGAGTCTCTGATTCTCAGATCGATCTGAGAATAACTCGGACACGAGTCCTTGAGTTTTTTCTGTTTGGGGTCGCTGGTAATCACTTCTGGACAAGAGTCCTGGGTTTGGTTAGGTCTTGCGTGACGTTATTCTCGTTGGATTCCAGGTGAGAGATCTTCCAGCTCTGGTAGTTCATCGGAGTCGAGATTTTCTGACTCATCATCTTCAAGCCTTGATTCGAGGACTTCTCATCGATCCAGAAGTCGACACCGGTCGAGGAATAATATCAGAACTCCGTCACGAGACAACAGTAGAGTTCGATCTAGGGACTCCAGCCTTCACAGAGGTGACACTGGACGTCATTCAAGAGAACATAACCTCTCCGAGGAGTCTCCAAGGAATGCCAACGTCCCAGCTACCTCGACATGTAGGGAAATCTCCCAGGTCACAAGTGAGGCAAAAGCAGAAGAGATTAGTCCACTCGACCCTGAGATGTCTGAATTATTGGGAAACCGCTTGGACCCAGATAATCCTTTGGGCCCAGCTATCAATACAAATATTGCTATTTGTTGGGGGGAGATTCTCTCGAAATGCTTGCCTAAAGAGGAACAAAAGGAAATTATTAAAAAATATTCTACACCAGAGAATTGTAAGGAACTTAATGCCCCCCGACTAAATGCAGAAATCAAGGCATCACTTCCTGAGGGGACGTTAAGTAGGGATACTAGAATGGTCAGCAAACAGACAAAATTGTCAATATGTTTGTCAGCCCTTGGTCAAGCCTTGAACTCCTTGGTGATTCTTAAGAAAGATGAACCCCTTGAGCCTGAAGCAAAGAAATCTTGTGTGGGTCTAATCAGCGACGCATGTCGTTTACTGCTTGAAGTCCAGAGGGAGGAATCCCAAACCAGAAGAGTATTAATCCTAACCAATCTGAACCCAACCCTAAAGGACGCACTTAATGAAGTAAAAATTGGAGAATTACTCTTCGACAAGGAGCTAAATGACATCATCAAAACCTCCAAGTGTCTAGAAAAAACCAGTAATGATTTGAAAAAACCGAGAAAAACTCCAAATGACGAATTCTCAAAAAACGCCAAACGCCCGCTCTACCCCCCTGTGAAGAAGCAGCAGAACAGGTCGAGCGGGCACATGAACTTGGGGCCTCGGAAGAAGAAGACCCCACAGAGACCTCGGTCCAGGTACTCCTCCAGGAGAGATCATCCCTACCGGAGGAGGAAATAAGTCATGTAAGTAATTATGCAGGTAGATTGAGAGAATTTTTTGAGGCCTGGTCTTCTCTATCTGAGGATGAAACGATCAGAGGATGGATATCTGGATATAAAATTCCCTTCGATTCGCAACCACAACAATTCTCACTCCCTGAGGAGCGAGATTGGTCTCCAGATGAACTCTCAGAGATACAGATGTTGTTGTTGCAGTTGCAAGAGAAAGGGGCAATAAAAACATGCGAGCCATCTCAGAATCAGTTCATTTCGGGTATTTTTCTTGTACCTAAGCCTGATGGATCCTCTCGCCTCATTCTAAACTTGAAGAGTCTCAATAAATTCATCACTACAGAGCACTTCAAACTAGAGGACTTACGTACTGCCAGGGATTTAATGTCTCCTGATTGTTACATGGTAACAATCGACTTTAAGGACGCTTATTATATGGTTTCCATCCATGAACATGACCGCAAATATCTTAGATTCTGTTTTTAAGGAATTCTATATGAGTTCACTTGTCTCCCTTGCGGATTTAATACTGCTCCTTACGTATTTACTAAAATCATGAAACCAGTAGTATCTCAATTGAGGATGCACGGTGTTGAGCTAGTCATATATCTTGATGACACTTTCATTGTGGGAGAATCATACGATAGTTGTGAAATTTTTGTCAAAGAAACTCTCAATTTACTCATAAAACTTGGTTTTTTAATTAATTATAAAAAGAGCTCGCTTGTGCCAAGTAAACAGTGTAGATTTTTGGGTTTCATTCTCAATTCCGAAAAAATGCTAATTTCGTTACCTATTGATAAAAGAATAGAAGCCAGAGAACTGATTACAAAATTCCATTCTGGAACTTATTGTCGAATTCAGGAATTATCTTCTCATATCGAAACTTTAGGATCCTATTGTCATGCCTTTCGCTATTGTTGGGTGTACCTCAAAGATCTTAAGAGAGAAAAGTACCTAGCGCTGGAAAGACTAAATAATAACTTCGAGGCTAGGATGCAATTACCTGCAACCCTGAATGAGGACCTCAATTGGTGGTTGCATAACATAGATTCTCTTGGTAATCCTATCAATGATTTTAAATACGAATTAGAAGTTCACTCGGATGCTTCTCGTTCGGGATGGGGTGCATTTGCTGAGGAACAGAGGGCACACGGGTTCTGGAACCTTGAAGAGCAAGGTCATCACATAAATTACTTAGAATTGCTCTCAGCCTTTTTGGCCCTGAAATGCTTTGCAAAGGATCTTCAGAATTGCAATATCCTCTTGCGCATCGACAATACCACTGCTATCTCTTATATTAATCGTATGGGAGGTATTCAGATCCTGAACCTCAGCAAGTTGGCAAAAGAGATCTGGCAGTGGTGCGAGAGGCGAAATCTCTGGATTTTTGCCTCATACATCAGCTCAACTGATAACAGTATTGCTGATTACGAGTCAAGACGTTTAGAACCAGAAACGGAGTTTAGTCTTGCTCCTTATGCGTTCGAAGAAATTTGTCGGTCTTTCGGTTGCCCAAAAATAGATTTATTCGCCTCAAGGTCTAATACCAAGTGTAAGAGATTTGTGTCATGGCAAAATGACCTTGAATCGGTTGCAATAGATGCCTTCATGGTCAATTGGTCTCATTTTCTCTTTTATGCCTTTCCACCTTTTTCAATCATATTGAGAGTTCTAAAGAAAATAAGAATCGATAAAGCCAGAGGCATCGTTGTGTTCCCTCGATGGCAAGCTCAACCTTGGTTCCCCCTGTTCAAGAAAATGTTGGAATCAGATCCAATCCTTTTTCGACCCGACATTAACTTAATTAATTCATCAAACAGGAAACCACACCCACTCCAGAAGCAACTTACCCTGGTGGCAGGAGTATTGTCAGGAAGGCTATGGAAATGAGAGGAATACCACCAGAATCTTCTGAACTCTCCATGGACTCCATTCACTTGTCATCATGGAAGCAGTATGACTCACCCCTCAAGAAATGGTGGCAATTTTGCCTCAATAATCAGATTGATGTTTACACCCTAAATATAACTCGTATCCTCTCCTTTCTAACTGAACAATTCCACAAGGGAGCTTCACAAGGAACAATAAATTATTATCGTTCAGCTTTATCGCTTCTTCTGGGACCAGAAGTAGGTTCAGACCCTAATATTAAACGTTTCTGCAAAGGTGTTAGCAACAAGAGACCCTCAAAACCTAAGTACAACGACACCTGGGATCCAAAAGTGGTGCTAGATCTTTTGGAGACATGGCCCTCCAACGAAGCCCTCAGCTTAAAACTGTTGACCCTTAAGCTGACTATCCTCCTGGCCTTGACGACATCACACCGTATGCAAACCCTTTCGGTTATTGACATTAGGAACGTAAGAGTTCTAGTTGACTCCATCGAGATCAAAATACCTGCGACGATCAAAACCTCTGGGACCTCGGCAAGTTCTAATAAAAAACGGCCAACCCTGATCTTACCTTTCTTCACTCAAAATAAAAGAATTTGTGTTGCTACAACTCTTCGGGACTACCTCCAGGCTACGCAAGACCTTCGCATCAACACCAGCAATCTTCTAATTTCGTATAAAAAACCTCACAATAAGGTGACAGCACAAACAATCAGTAGATGGATTAAAGAAATCCTCAAAGAATGTGGAATCGATACGGAAATATTCACAGCATACTCTACTCGACATGCCTCAACGTCAGCAGCTAAGAGAAGTGGTATCAGTGTTGATCTCATCAAACAGACTGCTGGATGGACTAAAAAATCCAAGGCCTTTGCAAACTTCTATCATTTAGAATTAACAGAAGATAAAACTAAATATGCTAAGGCTCTATTGTCAAGAACAAATGAATGATACAACCCACGTTCATCGTTTTCTCTTTTTCTATTTTCGTATGTATAACCAGCGGACAATAAATACACTTCCATGCCGTAACCAGTAGCTTTCAAAATCTACTAGTGATCTGAGGAAGAGGCGCGAAATAGAATTTAATGATTAAACGAACTTACCTAAGTGAAGTTCTATCATAATTCTATGGAGCGCCTCTTCCGAAAGATCAGTTCCACCCAGTCCCTTCACCTCTCATCTCCTTTCGAGGCCCTTCCGTTACGGCATTACTTTAAAGAAATGACGTGATGCCGCACAGCCAGTGTGGAGTGACGTGGGGAAAATTTTTTTTGGGGACTTTTAACTTGTGGCACTATCTGTAGAAATAAGGGTACTACTAGTGATCTGAGGGAGAGGCGCTCCATAGAATTATGATAGAACTTCACTTGGGTAAGTTCGTTTAATCATTAAATTTTATGCTAGCCCCTCTCAATATTATCAACTTTTTTGAAAATTGAGAATGGGATTTGTAATTCTTGGTGATCTCTTTATTTCCAATCAACTCCTTCGGAATTGAAAGTTAATCCCAGGACAATTTTAATATTTTTTTTTTCAAAGATAATTTGAAATGAATTTTCTAGGGAACGGAAATTTTTAAAATTAACTAGGAACAGGAGCCGAAAAAAAGCGAAAATGTGAAATGTGATCAACTCCTGGCCATTCATTGGAGCCTAGAAAGATCAATATCAAGGTTGAACGTGAGTCAATTTTGGGTCAACTTTAGCTTGGCCTTGGGTTAACCTTGGCTTGACCTAGTGTTTCCCAATGTAGTATCGATACTTGCTTGTATCGATATTTTTTATTCCGATATTTGATATTTTGTATCGATATTTGCGCATCGCGATATTGGGTGTATCGATATTTCTGGGTTGGGATGGATATTTTCTCAGGGACAAGTAATGAGAAAAAAACTTAATCTAATAAATTTTCATAACGGATTTAAAGACCAGGGAGGTCACAGGAATAAGATGATTCAACGGGGTCAAAATATCAGAAGGGACAAAAGGATCATAAGAGGATGGTCAAATTTCAAGAGGGTCGAACGTCACGAAGGTCACAAGGGGATGATCAAATTTCACGAAGGTCAAAAGTCACAAGGGTCACATTGAGACGATCAAGTTTCACACGGATGAAAAGTCACAAGAGTCACAAGGGGATGATCAAATTTCACGAAGGTCAAAAGTCACAAGGGTCACATTGAGACGATCAAGTTTCACACGGATGAAAAGTCACAAGAGTCACAAGGGGATGATCAAGTTTCACAAGAGTCAAACGTCATGAGGGTCACCAGGAGATGGTCAAATTTCATAAGGGTCATAAAGGGATGGTCAAATTCCACGAGGGGCAAATTTTCACGAGGGCCACAAGGAGACGGTCAAATGTCACGGCAGTTAACAGACACAAGGGGACAGTCAATTTTCACAAGGGTCAAATTTAATGTGAATGACACTGAATATTCATAACTTATCTCAATTTTTCCTTGCGTAATTTAATTGACAAATTTGATGATTGAAAGTGGCGGAATCTATGGAATGTTCTGTACCAAATTGTAAACAATACTGGGATATCCTCACGTGAGTGAATCTGAATGTTTAAGGTCTTTTAACGCGACATTTTTCAACTTTAATTTTTTTCCATTTGCCAATGTCATCCACAATTTTTAAAATGATCGATATTACGAGTATCGATATTTTCCAAGGCGATATTTTGTGGTATCGATACCAAGCAATGTGTTTCGATACGATACTGAGTATCGATATTTTTTTGGGTATCGGGAAACACTAGCTTCACCCCGAGTCAATCTTGGCTTGACCACGGGTCCACCTTGGCTTAACCATGGGTCAACCTTGGCTTGACTATGGGTCAACCGTGACCTGCCCATGCGTCTACCTTAGCTTGATCGTGGATCAGCCTTGGCTTGACCATGGGTCGCCCTTGGCTTGACCATGGGTCGACCTTGGCTTATCCATGAATCAACCTTGGTTTGACCACAGGTCAAATTTGGGCTGACTATGGGTCAACCTTGGGTTGACTATGGGTCAATCTTGGGTTGACTATGGGTCAACTTTGGCTTGTTCGCGGGACCTGTTGATGGAATCTTGATTTAACTTTGACAAGACCTTGGTTAAACTCTGATTAAGCCGCGATTAAACTCATTAAACCTCGATTAAATGCTTTTTAGGCTATAATTTCAAAGCAAATGATTGGATCGCCGCTATCTTCGAACTCGACCGATACAACATCCAAAAGAATGTTTTAAGCCATAATTGAAAAGATTTCGACGATTATTTTTCCAACCCAAATATCGGGCAATATAATTGGCCCATTCCACATCACGTGGTACAAGCTATAGGGTTTTCAACTGATAATTTTCTGATAATTTTCTCTGGTAGTTGCTATATAAAAAACAAAACATCATGCAGTCGAATTAACCCCTCGTCAAACTGACAGATTGAATTCAATTGTGGTAATCCGAGGTCAGTTCGGCAATTCTACAACGAGATAGCCGCAGTCGACATTGCTATGAATTAAATAAATAATTATTACAACATCGAGTTTTTTCTTCTCTCATTGGCTTCCCAGGGGTTCAACGAATCACTGAAAAAATTGACGATTTAAAAAAAAAAAATTTCGTATGTTCGGTAGCGGTGCAAAGTTTTCCGGCTTTTACGGACCCTGAAAATCGGGGGGTTTTTCGGCTTCTCACAGCGATTGTAAATAAACTAATGAAATTAAAAACTTGAAACTTCGTATTGGGCGAGCGAAATACTGATATTACACAGTTCAATTGGTCTCATATTTTTACGATTTTTTTTCGTCGAGTTATAGACGTTTATTGCGAGTGGTCTTTACCTTTGACACCGACAGTAGTTCCCTAATTTCCGATAATTGAATATCATTTTTTACCCACTATTCACCAGGAGATGGTAAGGTTTTGATTAAGATTAATTTGATAATATCAAATGTGTGTTTGATCTGTTCAATTCCCGTTACGATTTGCATAATACGTTCTGTACACAACCTGCCTGGCCTCTTCTCTTCTCGATTCAATTTCTCAGGAGTGACAGATTTGTGGTATCTCTGTACTTTTGGGACCCGCCACTGATTTTTAATTTTATATATGGATTACCAGATAAGTTTCATGGTAGAGATTACGCAAGATGTTTGATGCTTATTCAACTGACTTCCTTGGAGCTTTCCGAATTCAATTTTGATAAAAATCGGAGTTGAAATAGGACTTTTATTCTGACTCGGGATACCATCATACCTTACGTTCCATTTCAGTCGCATAGCCGCAAAACGGTTCAAGCCAATTTTGGTATTGGTTAGTTTTCAATGAATATCTTGAAATGTAAGACAGATACCAATTTTTTTTTCATAATCTTTCTTATAGACCGAATCAAATGTAACAAAAAAGGTCTGTTTGGTGAATGTCTAGGGTTAGGGTGGATGTGGGATGAAAATGTGGAGGGAGATGTTGGGAAAATTACTGATGAGCCGGATTTAAAAAATCACACTTTATTTTGTGGGATCGAACCACTTTGTCAAAAGTCTTTACACTCTTTGGTAATTTAATTGTTGAATGTCTAATTATACTGATAATTGTCTTTCACTGTTAATTGGTTGAGTCACTGAATTTAAACTGAATTTAATCAACAGAGGTGATGTACTGAACAAAACGGTGCTCTTACAAAGACCGGTGATGTACTTGATAACTAGTGAGCTAGGTGAGGTTCAAGAAGCTACTATACTCGGTGAGGTGCGATATAAAACTTGTACAGGTGATTTGCCCGAGATAGACTTGTACGGTGAGAGGCTAAGCCTAAACTGATTCGCGCGTGTTTCGGTGACTTATGACTGATGACCCGAAGGGTCCCGGAGATTTTCGAAGTAGGCCGATGGTCGACCAGAATGTTCTGGAATTTTAGTTGCGTTTCAAACAAGGTCGTTACAAAAATGTTGCAATCTCTCTTAGATTCGGAGATATTGCCTGGAAACTCAGCTAAGAACTCAGTCAACTCAAATCGTTTTATTGTTTTGCTAGCGATTTTGCCCAGCAGTTGCTCTCTTTCAAAAGTATAATGAGCCACAATACAAGATTAGAGATAATAATCACCTAACAGACCTGTAGGGATGATTAACGGAAGGATTTCCATGAAAAAATGCAAAAATTTGATGGTTTTATTTTTTTTGAATGTGTTCCAGGTGGAATATGTGAACTTTTTTTATCTCAAAATGTGGAAAATTGAGGCTAGAATCTTGCCAATTTTTGTCAAAGTAGTAAAAAAATCTTTACCTATGAGAACGATTTTTTAAAGAAAGAAGTATCGATTAAAAATATTATTTAACAATTAAAAATCAATTAAAAATTTTTTCCTTCAATTTTGATGGGTTTTTCATTTTACAGAATTTTTACAGATTTTTAAGTAGCTTTGAAGTACTCGAAAAAAAATAAAATCGAAAAAAACAGTTTTTGAAGCATAACAAATCAAGGGATCGATATAATTATCTGAAATTTTACACAGAATTGTTTTTTTGGGTGGTGAACATGTGAAAAAATTGCCGCCTTGAAATTCGCTGGGGGCAGATTCACCATGCCTATCCGGCTAGACACTTTTTGAAATTTTTGAAATTTTTGAAATTTTTGAAATTTTTGAAATTTTTGAAATTTTTGAAATTTTTGAATTTTTTGAATTTTTGAAACTTGGACAAATTGAAAAAAAAATGGAAACCTCACCCCACTTCTCCAACAAAAATTTGCTATCTCCCTCACTTTCTTAGATATTTTTGAAAAACCCTACCCATTCAATTTTTTTTTTGGTTGTGAATTCTCAATGCACCCCCCCCCCTCTGCCACCAATTTTTAGAAAATATTGGCTATCTCCATTAGTTTTGAAGATATTTTTGAAAAACCCCAACGATAACCCGACATTTCATAAAACACCTGTAGCGAAGCTACTTCTATT